TTATAATTGTACATATTTGTAACAGTTTGTATGTAAATATTTTTCCTGGCTATTAACCTTGTTGATGACTTATATAAAAAAAAACCCAATGTTTTTAATTTTTTTTAATGACTAATTTGCAGGCACGATCATAAATATTATTAACTATCAATTCACTGGTTACCGGTTATTTTGCATATGACCATTTAATAGCCTTGTTGTGAAATTGTGAAAATAAAGTGTTGCGTACGGCTATCGTGTTTGTACCGTTGAACAGTCCGTTCTTGACGTCCAAGTTTCTCAGAGGTATGACGATCGCCCCTATATTAAGTTACAGAATGTGAAGTGACAGGGTTCAGTAAGTAGAGGAACTCAATTATGAAATCTGCGGTACACGGCCTCTTCGGAACTGCAAATTCAACACTGTCACAATTATGATAACAGTGGTGACCTCGCCGTTTGAATAAACAGTTTTCAGATAAAGACGGGTTTGGCTAAAGGGGTGTGGGACACGAAATTTCCGTGGATCTGATTTCAAGAGCGATTTGGCAGGTAAAGATACCATAATACCATCCATTCGACAATATATGTCAATATAGCCATCCCGATTTAATTTTGAATGTACGCCACTGAATTGCAGAGCGTTTTGATTTAATTGATTTATGTATGCACGCAATATGAATTACGCAGCTTCATGCGAAATGGAAACCATTACATCAAAATACCGAATCGCTTTTGGACAGCACCTCTGTTTAAAATGATATGACAGTGGCCGGCAATATTACACACTCGTATTATATTCCGTATACATCACATAGCATAAAATATGTTAATAGAATTGTCAACGAAACACAATATTACACTTTAACCTTCGTTGTGTACTATCACATTAGTAACGAAAACAATTATTGTTTTTCACCCGACCTAACTATAATATTATATTTGATATTAGTACGAAACCTTCAATGAATAGCGAACAATCACTACAGTATAAACGAAAATGTCCGGTAGGAACAATTTTCAAAAACAATATTGCAAAATCGATTTTTTTTATTGGCTTTAGAAAAATCCATTATTATTTTTTATAAAAAAAATATGACTAGTAAATATTACAATCCATACTAGAGTACAATAAATAATAATTATGGTAGGAATGAGAAAATTAAAAAGAATAATAACACGGTAGGAAATCTCACGTTAGAGACACCTAGTGGTTATAAATTCGTAATAACTTCAACATTTACAGTTTATAGTTAATACAGTTTTTAAGTCATGGCACCAGTTCCACTTGAGTCGTCTGGTTGGATTTCCAGGTAGTGATAGCTAAATCCCTGATGAGCTGGTTGAGATTTAATTGATGTTTTTCGTGGAAGCGTTTATAGTATGAAGTAGCAGTATGCAAGGGAGTTTTATAAAGTATGAGTTTCAGGAGTAATATTAGGTTTGAGCGTTGAAGTGACCTTAGTAGGTGAAGTCTTAAGTTGAGCTTTTTGCGTTTTTCCTCAAGATAAGCATGTTAGGCGTCTGTCAAATATCAAGCTTAGATATTTCACTTCATTTGAGTGAAGGATAATAGTACTGTTTATTGTTACAGGAAGAAGAATTTCGATTCGTTGATTTTAATTTTCCATTTTGTGAACAACTGAGAAAAGGAACAATGTGAAAAAGGCATCCTAGGATAATGGTGACGAGTGCAGCCACTGTAATAGATTATTAAATGTATACCTGAAAGCAAAGATAAACCATTGTTAACGAAAAAACGATTCTGAGCGAAGTAGAGTAGATAGTGATGCTTTGACAAGAATATATATGTCTTATTATGGTAAAATAATTAAATAGGCATTATATATTTTTTTTAATACTATTTGTTTAATGTTTTCCTGATTTTCCCAATTTTGCTACGTTTGTCTCGGTTTTTCATGTTTCATACCGGTTTTTTGCATTTGCCGAAAAAATTCCTAAAAACATCGAAAAATAACCACCCCAGAGTACCTCCTAATTTTTTTTTTTTTTTTGAAAAGGTTCTGCACTTAGAAATCCGAGCAAATTTTCTGGTATAAACATTTTTAACAGATTGTTAACATCTTTGTGAAACCATTAGCTTCTACGCTCCACAAAGAATCTAAAATTAAAATTAAAAACGTCAAACGTTAAATTTGTTCACGCTATATATTTTTTTCGTCATTATCATGACAATTTTCGCTGTCATCCGTTGTTTACTATTCAGAGATAGGTATTTAAAATTGAATCGTTTTTGTATTGCGTTTACTCTGGTAATTAATATTTCGTTTCAATATATATATATACATGCACAGTAGATATTGCGCGGAATAATAATATTGTTGGAATTTGCAATATTTTGCAGGATTGGCAGGAAGCCGGAAATTAATTTACACAGATTATTTTATTATGCGGAAAAATCGTTATACGGACTGACATATTAATATCGTTTGGAAACTCGATAAAATACCAATGTAAAACATAATTTCCCGAACGAATTTATTATTTAGTAATTGGAATTTTTTTTTTTTTTTATTATTATTTTGTAAGAATGAGCATTTTTATGGAGCTAAAAAGTTTATGTGCATAAAACTGANAACTCGATAAAATACCAATGTAAAACATAATTTCCCGAACGAATTTATTATTTAGTAATTGGAATTTTTTTTTTTTTTTTTTTAGATACTGTGAATTATGGATAGTTATTAAAAATTGTTCAATACTTGACATACAATAACCATATAATAGATCCGGCAAAAAAAAACCAACACATTTTACACTACGAATGTGCCAATGTTGTCGATAGGTAGGTGGGAAAGTAGGATATTTATGATATAATAAGATAGTTTAATTAATATCTGTGTACATTAGCAAATCCCTGCTAATGAATATCGGTTCTAAGTTCGGTTAAACACGGTTTGAAAAACTTAAGTTTAGTTTAAAAGTACATTACTGCAAAATAGTTAATAACTACTGTCCATGATTTTTTTTTTTTTTATTATTATTTTGTAAGAATGAGCATTTTTATGGAGCTAAAAAGTTTATGTGCATAAAACTGAAAAAAAAACTAAAAAAAAAACTAGACAATTTACAAGGAAGATTTAGTCTCGAAAACCGTCCGAATGTTTCGAAAATTTCATTACGCTTAGAAATGGTTAATACTTCGTGAATTTCGTGAAAATTTCAGATTTCTACGGTTATTTCAAACAGAATTTATAACAAAACAAAACAAAAAAATCTAAATCAAAAATAACCGTAACCCAAACGTTTCATGTACTATAAAGAAAATTACCTACGAGAAAAAAAAATAACCTACTCAACGTACCGGCTGAACGAAATTCGTTACCAGAAATGACACCTAAAAAAGATCGTCGGATTGGGATTGCTGTTATTGGAAGGGTTATTCACAGCTGTCAATGGAAACTACAAATGACGGTAAATAATCAATATACGCATTTCTATCGCTAGTTATTACGCGTTCGGTATCTAAGCGGAATAAAAAAACTGCGATCGTGTTGTAAAAAAAAAAAAAAAAAAAAAAACGGTTGTCGCACTTTAATTCGGAACGATAGAATTTCGTTCAGTCGTCCCGTACCTCGTTATACGTTATATACAATCGCGAAAAATCTAATTCGCCGGCGAAAATAAGTATAATCCCGTGTCATCAGTATATTACGCGCTCGTGGAAACTTTGCGCTTTTATCTCATTGCTCTCTCTCTCTCTCTCTCTCTACATATATATAACAATATGTTTGTCGCGGATACGAGCGGAAAAACACTATGTGTATGTTCGCGTTTTTCACTTACCAAAAGTGGTGTTATTGAGCGCTTGGTATACGCGCCTGTCTTATATTCCTCTACCTATGGTACATTGTATGTGTGTATTACGGACATGATTCGAAAACGCGCTTCAGTCGAATTTTAATGGAAATTTACTGTTACTTTTGTCTATACATGTCGCACGTAACGGTGTGATAATATAAACAAAACGTTTTTTCCCGCGTGTACTTTCGCACGCAGCGCGATTCGTTTTATCGCGGACCGGCGATTTCGAGCGAATTCGATTTCGCCGTTTTTGCTTTTCGGACCGTGTCCGCGAAAAGTTTTTCGCGATTGTATGTTTCACCTATACCTAACGATCGACAATACGTTAAATTGAAATTTTATAAAATATTCGAATAAAAGTATTGTAATACTATTTTTGTATTAGAACACTATTTTCAATGCTTTTCGGAAAAATATTCTGAATATATTTTTTTGTGTTTTTGATTCGCTAAAAAAACACTTTTCTACAAAGACCAATAGTAGACCGATACATTTGCAATCGAACTATAAAATCATAGATTTTTAGAGTCATAAAATAAATTATAAACGTTTAAAAATCTAAGTTTAAGAATTGGACTATTTACGACATAATATTTGATTATTCATATATATATATATATATGAATAATCAGTACTAATTAGTAGGTAATCAGTTATTTTAACAACATATTGAGCCATAAAACAGGAATTTTAGAGATTTTCTCATAAAAGCTTTTTTTAAAAGCTTTTCGCATAAATTAGCTGAAAAAAAATCTTCGAAAAGTATTCAAATATCCTCATATTTAAAAAATTTACTCATTTGTTCTAAAACGTATTCTTAATACATAACAAAAGTATTCATTCTAAGCCTGCCGCTTTATAAGTCTACAGTTTCATTCCGATTCATTATACTCTTTAAACATTTTGATTCATTCTTTATGAAACTTTGCACGCTTGATGTTCAAAACTAGAAGGAGGATCGATGTCTATTTTTATCTCGAGATTGAACCCCTAAAGCAGGCCTTCAAAAAGTTTTTAAAATGTTATTTTATTTATTTTATTTTATTATAAAACGGGCCAAAAAAATATATTCATAATAATAATATCAGGAAAGTACATATAAATTACATAAACATAAGGACATTGTTACAATTGTTTAAGAAAAATGAAACGACGGGTCCTCATTAGCAATGTACATCATTCTAAACATCGGTCTATTACGAGAGTAATTCGTGGTGCAAAAAAGAATGAAAAACGGGTAAGTTGCTTGGACTGGAAGCTAGGGATTTTAAAATTAAGCTTAACAATACAGAACAATCTGTAGACCCATTTTTAAGGTTACGTAGGAACACGTTGTTAGCAGATATCTGTCTATCAGCTAGGATTTTTAATCCAAGCCGCTTAATTACTAGATTATACTCATGGGGTAAGTGGTCGTTGTGAAGTACCATAGCAGCAAAACTTAAAAATTTACGTTGTATCCTTTCTAAATGGTTCACACTGCTCGCAGAAGACGGGTCCCGAATAACAACGTCATACTCTAAGATAGACCTGATAAGTGCACAGAATAACGCTTTAAGTGGTGATATAAAATTAAATTCCAAGGAGACCCTTTTTATGAATCTAAGTGTTTTCAGAGCCTTGCAGCAGGATTTGTCAATATGATCGTGAAATTGTAGTTCCTGATCAAGAGTAATACCTAGATCATTTATCATCCTACCAGCATAAGTGAGAAAGGAATCATAAAGAGTGTAATTAATTAGATACAATAGAAAATTTGGTTCTGTGAAAAGTCATAGAAAGACACTTAAAAATATTAAACTTGAGTCCGATGTTTATAGCCTATATATCTATCGCATCAAGATTCCTTTGAAGTAGTATGCAATCATTTTTAGAACGGATCTCTAAAAATAATTTTAAATCGTCGGCAAAAAATAAAAAATTACTATTTTGAATAACACACTTGATTCTATTTATGAATAAAGAAAATAATATAGGGGAAATGTGTTTCCCTAGAGGTACTCTAGGTGTAACAAAACTCTCCTCAGACTTTGCATCAAAAACTGTATGTACTGAGTGCAATTAGTTAGTTAAAGACTGAACCAGGGTAGTAATAGTTTACCAAACCCATTAGATACGAGAATTTCCATTAAAGTCTTATGGTCTACCTTGTAAAATGCTTTACGGAAGTCGGTGTAGATGACATCTACTTGGTAACTATCGGAGAAAGCATTATACACGTAATTAACAAATACCAGGTTGCAAGTAGTTGCCGAACGACCCGGCAGAAATCCGTGTTGTTCATCCACTTAAGTTACATTAACAGAAGGCGTTATACATTATACAGAACGAGTGATTCGAAAAGTTTAGGTATATGACTGAGTATTGTGATAGGTCAATTATTACCTACACCAAATTGGCGTTACAGAACTAAGTTTAAATATATCAGTGTAGATACTAGATTCAAGGCTTTTTGCAAAATAGAAGCCAAAGTAGAAAATAAAGCGAGAAACTGTTTCGTTCTTAGATGTATAGATGATTTTGAGTGGTCGAAGTTTTTTCAGAAGATGGTTTTTCGAGCCGAATAAGTTGGTAGTTTAGTGGTAAATTTATAGAGAGAGGTAAAATAATATCAGACAATTTAGTTTTGTCATCGAGAACACGGCTAGGAATATCTTTAGAAGATGACTCAGGTAGTGATTATATTGTGACGTTAAACGATTCAAAAACCTATTGAAATTGATTACGGATAATAATATAAACGATAAACAATTGAAACGGATTACAGATATCACGATAGAAACACGATAATCAATTAAAATATATCAGACAGCCAAACGAAAATAATAATAATCTTTCTATCGGTACAACTTATGCTTATAAGGTTAGTGTTGGTATTAATATTTGGAACAGAACAATTTGTTTATCATTAGTTGGTCCGTACTACAATTACAATAATGGACAAATTATAAATGTGAATACTTTACCTACCACTTATAATAATAACTAGAGACATGAGTACCTTTAACTTCAACTGGGACCCCAGATGAAATATTTAACATTAAAATATATTATTACTTAGTTATAAAGTATACAATATTAAAATATTGATTTACAAATTAAGCTCTGTAGCCGTTATTATTCATCCTTATCATTATTTGTCCTTATAATTTTGGATAATTATTCCCATTCCTATCTACTTTATTAACAGATTTAGATAATATACTTAAATACTAATATAATAATAATTATTGTACTAATCATATTCTTTAAAATATTCACATTATTTTAATTAAAGGATTTAATAAAGTTATGATCATAATTTTAACTAGAGTTGTATTAAGAACGAAAAATTAGATAAATATAAATGTTTTAAACATGAAAAGACTTAATGATTGACTAAAAAAATAGTAAGGTGCATAAACGAAGATTTCCGAGTGGAGACAAAAATTCGATCAGAAATCTTGCTTAGATATTTACGTGCAGCACTATTTCTGAAAGGGAATGTTGTCCAAATGGTACTTTTGGGAAGTCATTTTTAATTTTCCGAGCGGTTAAATGTGAAAAAATTTATTATTTATCTAGATTCTAGATAATTTATTTAGATAATTTATCTAGAAGAAGTAATAACTGTTTCAGCTAATAAACACGATAGCGCCGAGACTTAGCTATTTTACCGTTTTTACCGCTATACTGGTATATTTAACGGTATTTGTTTTTACCGTCTTTGCTCTTTTTGCGTAAAAGATAAACTATTGGACTAGAACGATAAATTTTGATAGTTAAGATGTTATAGGGATAGACGAAAATCTGAATTTTTTAATTGATTTCAACAGTTTACAATACTTTCTAAATTTTACATTTATTATGCTCGTATGCCGTATGTTATACGGGGTGTAATATGAATAACGATAACACCATGTTACGTACAAAAATTACCATCCATGTAATCAATGCCGCCGCGTTACGTAACGTACAGTTAAAACTTTTTAGGTACCTATTTAGTATTTACCGTCAATTGTCCGAATAACATTTATTAACGTCCTCTTGGACGGAGGATACACCAATATGGAGGTTTGGTAATATAAACCTTTCTTATACCTCGGCTGGTTCCGTGTATTGTTGTGCCGTTAGCAATTACATATTATGTTATTATTTCCTCCGTTGAACTCATAGAAACTATAGACTGTTACTTGTTTTTCCCTTTATCCGTGTTCCCCTCTCTCTACAGGTATAACATTTTACAAAATCCCAAGGCCTTGGTATCGGTCACAAGAAGTAAGCTTCTTAAGCGACGTCACACAACGCTCGTTCTACGGACAAGACCGAAACGGGACGTTACGAACACACTATAATATCTTGGGTATATAATGCTATGAATGAGTTACATAAAAGTTTGAAATTTATTAAACCAGATGAGTGCTAGGCAACAAATGTCCGGAAAATACCGGCATTTATAATAATTATGTTATGATTTACTCAAAATCCTCTTGTAGACGATGGCTGATTCGCGATAGACAAAACCACCCTGTATACTGGGCTGAACCGTATCTGTACGCGAGCACTTATTACTATAATATATACGAGTATATCCAGTTGCCGGAAAATGTCCGTCATCGTATAACGATCTCTCGAGGAACTGGAGCAGACACGAACTGCAGCAGTTGCAGTCGCGATTATTATAATATTATGTAAATATTTTGGAATAATAATAATACTGTTATAAAGACATTTTTGTTGTTTTCACAAAAAAAAAAAAAAATCTCGTACAAAAATATATAATAGCGCCGGCCCGGCTATAGACGGCTAGGCCTATATAGAGATGCACATTACAATGCACCGGATTTATCGACGTTCGTTAGAGGTATTATTATTGTTATTATTATTATGTTGAACACACCAAAAAAAAAAAAAAAACAATGCAAAAAATATTATATAGGTAAAAAGAAAATATACCCAATATACTATTTTTATCAAGATTTATACATTCGGCTATACATGCCATACACCGGAAATCGGCCATCGGCATATATATTTTATTGCCTCGGCTATTCTGGACGAAAGTTTACCTGTTGTAATACGATTTTTCCGAAGGCTATATCTATACATAACAGTATGTTCGAACAGCTGTTCGAATATGACGTGTCCGTGTGTTAGAGAATACTATGTTTTGTGTTGGTGAAAATTCGACAAATATAAATAGATACGCGTTTTATAATAAATTTGTATTGCATGTTCGATTGCAACAATCATACGTAAAGAACACCGCAATAATAATCGGACATCTTCGTTTGTTATTTTAGATTCTGAGTGGCAAAAAAATTATTGGCTTTACAAGGATATTTATTTTTTTCAGTTTTTTTTTTACACTGTGTACAAAAATTCTACCATAAATCTTCCTCAGATATATACGCGTGGCACTATTTCTGAAAGGAAATGTTGTCCAGATGTTACATTTAGGAGGTAATTTTTTTTATTATCCAAGCGGTTTTCATAATATCTGGGAAATACCAAGATAAAACGTAAGGAAAACAGAAAATTTTCGATTTTCCCATGAGTTTTCCCAACAAATTTGAAAAACCGGGAATAAACACGAGAAAACAGGAAATATCACAGGATAAACGAGAAAATCGGTACAATTGTGTTAAACAAATGTATTCTAAAGAAAATATATAATGCTCATTTAATTATTTTACCATAATATGACATATATTCTTGTCAAAGCATTACTATCGACAGAACTGCGCTTAAAATCACATTTTCGTTAGCAATAGTTTATCGTTACTTACAGATATAAATTAAATTACGTATTACAGTGGTTGCACCCGTTTCCATTATCCTAAGACGAAAAAATAACAATACCTAGAATAGGTAAATTTACAAACACTACGAGAACTTTTTCCATTCTTAGAGTATTACTTGAATAAATCGGAGAGCATTTATTTAACCAAAATGTGACGAAAAACAAAAAGTAATTTTTTATAAAAAGTATTGGAGATTTCGAAAAATGTTTCAAATAAAGTACCATCTAGCGAAAAATAAACATTTTTAAAGGTAACATATGAAAAAATTAGAAAAGTTTTACTAGTAAAAATGTAAAAATGATTTCTGAGAAAAAACACATATTTTTAAAACAAATATAGCTTCTTCGTTATACTGAAAATTTATAACTGTTTGACTTGGGAAATTTGATACATTAAATAAGTTCCCTATAACTCTGAACGTTTGTTTTCTATACGAGGTCTCCGATAGATCTTAAATGGAAGGGTACATTTTTATTTCTGTTTTACGTTCAATAGACTTCACAAAACGCTAAGGATCTTTGCATAGAGATCTGACCGATATATAAGTCCATGTGTGTATTTATTATGTGACTGAATAGTTTGATTGTAGCGATATTAATATTGTTCACAAACCTCTCTAAGAAATCGCGTGTACAACGTGTCGAGTAATAACAATATATAGGCTATTTAAAAAAAATAATGCCTGCAATTTTAATGTTTTCTTGTAATCATTTAGATTGTAATGCTACGCAATGCCACAGTGTGATTGATTTAACTTGGCTTACATAATGCAACCCGAATAGATATTGATTATTATTGCTCCACTCCATAGGTGTAAATAGCTCAACTATTTGGGTGTAGATACTAGCCACAATAAATAATTGTAAACTTATATATTACTTATATACTTAACGAGGACTTGATATGGTAGT